CGTACAATACCAAAAGTCAGGATCTTCATTTTTTTCTTGGAATTTTTGCACCTTCCTTCCACTTGTGATGTTCACCATTGGTCCCTAAAGTGTTCTTGGACCTGTGTGAGCTCAGAATGAACCTAATCTAAACAAATTACAAATATTTTACAAACTAAACTATTACACCAAAAGTGTGTAATTTCCAAAGTAATAATCAATCTAAACTAATTAAAAACACAAACATAAACATGGAAATTACATGATGTTAGTACGAATAAAAGAGACAATAGAATTTTGTTTTGAGACCTTATTAAGGCCTCTAATATTCCAAGAAGACACAAACATTAAGAACGTTTGTTGTTCTTCCTCCTCACATTCTTTCTAACATCAACACCTTTCGGCCTAGGCAGTTTTGGCCTCGGCTTATACCTATCCATGAAAAGGAAATATACCTTTTCCATGAAGAGAGGAGAGAACTCATATCCTTCATCCGTGGGATAGATCCCTGGGAAAGATTTCAAGCATTCTTCAGTAAAGTTAATCCCTTTGGTCAAGTTGTTAGTAGTAACCTCCAAATAATCATCAAGTCTAGTAAATTCTTCCTTAACATCCTCAATGTGTTTAAGGTGTATCCAAGGTTTCTCATCTAGATGAAGATCAACTTTGACAACCACATCATCAAGAAAAGCCTCTTGGATATCATGGACAATACGAATGGAGTCACGGGGGAACTTCCTAAGGTCTTTAACCTTAAAGGCGTTCCCTTGTAAGTATCCATCCTCAAAGTAACGGTTAAGGTAATGTCTATAAACTCCTTTCATGAATTTAGGAGAATAGACATACCCTTTGTTATTTGGTTTGACCCCGGGGAGGTCTTCCAAACAAGTTTTAGTAAATTGTACACCGGGTACATTTTCCTCCACAATACGAAGGTTATGGTTAAGCTTGATAGTAGGAACATCAACCTCATCTTGGTGTTTAAGCTTAATGATAGGGTGGAGGATGTCCTTGACATCCATATCAACTATAACCTCATCCGTAAAGGCATCAAGAAGAGTAGTTTTAATAACCCGGACTGTTTTGTCAACAAAGGCATCAACCTCTTGAGGTTGAGCGTCAATCTCATTGTCCTCTTCCTCAACAGTAAGTTTGTTAGCTCCTTTCCTAAATCTAGTAACCTTAAAGAAAGGATGGTCCACCTTCTTAACTTTGAATTGCTCATTGTTATGAGTTTCCAAAGTAGCGTGTTCCTTTCCTTTCCTTTGAGTAGGAATGGATTTGTTAAGAGATTTATCAATGGTGGGTCCATCTTTGTCTTTCAAGGCAGCCGCCTTTTCCTCTCTTTCTTTTCATTCATTTTCGGCCAAAACCGTGCATGTAAATGCATGGTGGCCAAAGGTTTTACAATGAAAACAATAGTTGGGAAAAGTCTCATATTTCGCATATTGAGTGTGAAATTTCCCATTTGGGAGCTTTATCTTAAGATCAAGAGGAGGAGGCTTAGAGGCATCAATCTCAATCAAAACACGAGCAAAGTGGGATCTAACTTTCTCTTGAGTTACCCTATCCGTAGCCATAGGAACTCCCACCCGGGAGGCAATCTCACTAATGATATCTTCTTCCCATATTCTCATAGGTAGATGGGGGAATTGAACCCAAATTGGGAGTTTAAGGAACTCATCACTATCCATAGAAAAGTCATCCGAAAGTGGCTTCAAAGGAAATGACTTCCCAAGGATAGTATGCAGTCCACCCAATAGGACTTTGGTTCTATCATCCTCATTCTTGAATTTGAAAATAACCCACCCTTTATCATGGGATCTAACTTGACATGGAACACCCCATTTGTTCATCATATCATGGATAGCTTTGTATCCGAGAAAACGCCCATCAAAATAGGCAACAAGGCAAAAGCCCCATATTTCAACCATAAGAGACAAAATTCTATTTGAAAGGTCAACATAGTCTCCAACCGGTTGAATATATCTCAGCTTCATGCCCTTTTGGGGTTCCCTATTATCTTTGAATAGGGAGACCCAAGGTTTGGAGGTAACAGTTTCATGCCAATTGGATTGTATAACATGGTCTTTGGATAAGGTCGCGGCATTAGAACCTGGGGTTTCCTTATCCAAAGTGACAATAGTCTTAGAAACTTGGTCATTGTCCTTGGTTAGTGCTGCGGCATTAGAAGAGCCCGGAGTCTCAATGTCCAAGGTAACAGATTGCTTAGCAATGTCATGGTCTATGGGTTGGATAGGTATATCCACACTTGAAGCTTTAGTAGCAATAACAACAACAGAGGTATTTTTATTTCTCGGTTCAACCACCAAGCCATTGGTAGTCATGCCAATAGACTGGTCATTAATTGATTCACCAACCACAACTAAAGAGTCATTAATGTCACCCAAAGTAGCATCTATAAGAGGTTCAATAGAAGTTACCTCAACTTCCAAGCTACGATCCAGGGAAGAAGCAGTTTCATGGCTCGGTTGGTAACTATCATCATCATGGCAAGAGGAATTGTCTTCGCTATCAAGCACAATCAACAATAGTTTCTTCAACCTCCCTAGCCTGTGCCTTTTCTCTGTGGATATTATCCTTACTACACTATAGTATACGAATTAGTGTTAGTATTAAATACTACTCCCTCAGTCCCATATAGAGGTTCCCGGTTCGCATTACGATGCTTGACTGATGATAAAGCAACTTGATGCCTGTTCACACTCTGATGATTTCTAGTAAATAAAATTTACATGTTCAGAAACTACATTAAAGTCGCTACAAAGCCTGGTTAAAAAAATATAAATTTCATAAAAATTTGATATATAAAGCAAAAGGTTAAGAATGATTTAAGTTGACCATGTGAATAGTGGACGAGAACCTTTAAATGGGATGGATGGAGTACGTATTATTTTGAGGCACACAACGACTTTTCTGTCGTGAAATATAAACTGAAGAGTTATAACACTTTATACAAAAAAAATTGAAAGTAGTCCTCAACCCCCCAAATTCTACAAGATAACTATTCAAGCCATTGGAATTGGCTATGGGGTATCATCCATTTTTAAGGAGATAACATAACGGTGATAATTGGCTATTTAGCTATGGGTATCATCCATTTTTAAGGAGATAACATCACGGGGACGCGTAAGCGTAAGTGCGTAACTAGTTGGAGTCTGGGGGAAAGTCCACCGTCAAAAGTCATTTGTTTTTTTCGACAGGAAAAGTCATTTGTTAATCAGGGTCGGATATTACTTGGTCAACACAAATCACTCTTAATTTCATACTTTATATATAAAAAATTTATCAAATTTGATTCAGATCTTTGCGACTTTGTAAAGCTTTAAATGTAGTTTCTGAATATATAATTTTTTTTCCTAAAAATAATTTGAGTGCGGACAGGCAGGGGCGGGGCCAAGGGGGGGTCAGTGTGGTCAGCCGACCCCGTTGAAAGATCAAGAATGTAGAGCTCTGAAATACCTTCGATTTGATATATAATGGGTCCCGTAACTCATTACGAGTAAAAAGTTACGACTTCTGGAAAAATCAGCACCATCTTAACTTGAAATAAGCAAAATTTGATGTGTGACGTTGATTATATTCTTAAATTTAAAAATAATACACCTTATCCAGTCATTAGTTATTTAAACATTATAATACATTACTTATATATCAGTACATTAATCGAAAATGCTCATTAAACTACCATTTATCTCAGTTGCATATGAAACATTTAACTCAAGTATTGTATAATAACTATCTATCATTTTGATACCGTATGTCTGTATATAATTAAATTCCGACCCCCCTCACACAATTTTCTGGTTCCGCCCCTCCGGACAGGGGTCTGTTTACTTTATCGTCGGTCAAAAATCGTAAACCATAAAGAGACAATATAAATGGGACGGAGGTAATACTTTATTAGTACTCCGTAATTCGTATGGCACATACGTAGTACGGAGTATATTGTTTAAAGTTCAAAGTTTGAGGAAATGTGGACTATGGGAATTGGGAAGAGAAACGATCTTGCATTGCAACTTCATGATATTTTAGAGCCTTTTGGTAGCACGAAAATCGACTATTTTGGCTGATTCTGTTGAAATTTACGAAGTTTTGGCTAAAGTGGCTGCATTGGCTGATTCTGCTAATTTAAGAAAAAATTATTTTTAAAATATACTCCGTATTTTATTAATAAAATAAAGAAAAAATTATATGTAAAATAGCTAAAATGATCATCTACAGTAACTTCAGCCAATACAGCCAGAAAAGTAACTGCAACCTTACTTTTTCTTCTTATTACACAATTCAGCGCGCAAAAGTTACCTGTTTGGTGAAAAAGGTGGCTGATATGTCTGAGAAGCCGAAAAACATTATTGCCAAACAGCCTCTTAAGAGGTTTCGTTACCTAAGCAGCTAAGCTAGCAATAAACGACTACGAATGGAAATAAAAAATAGACCCTAAGTCTTTTACGCGGCATTTTCAAGCTACTTTTGGTTTCAGGGGTGTTTGTATTTCAGAAAACGCTACAAAATGCAACATTTGTTGGAAAAAATAATGGCGTTTGGGGGTAAAAGGCTATTACCTAAACACTCAATCAGTGTGAGTGCGCTGTTGGAAAAATTGTATTCAAATTGCATTAAATGGTCCTTTTCGGGCAGATTTTTGAGTGGAGTCCACTTTCAATTTGAGTCGGGTCAAAGTGGTTTTGTATTCTTCTTTTTAAAAGTTCAATTCGATATGTGGTACACTCAAAATGGATAACGGGTGAATGAGAAATTGATTCTCAAAGTTCACTTGTTGAGATGGAGAAATCGAAAAAATTCCGAAGGTAGAACTAAACGTAGAAATACTGTTGGTTAATGGACGTTGTAATCTCTACTTCGAACTGCTAGAGTTTCAAACGTTATCTAACATTTAGAAAATGTAAAATGTGATTAAAACATGATAATTACATGGTTAATGGTCTGAAAAGTTCAAGACCATTAAAACACAATAAGTGTGTGTTTAATAGGTGTATGTTTAGTGCATAATTAATACAAAGGCTCATCCTCCCCTATATAAGCTTGACAACAGATTTTCGGAAGCACACACGATCAAGGAAAACACTGAGCACACAAAAATATTCACTCCACGGTCCTCTTAAACGAAAAACTTTGTCAAACTTCTGATACAATTTTCCCAGTTCTACCCTTTGTTTCAGTTCACCGGAGGAACCTATTGAGTGCTCAATGCGGTTGTTCGTCAGTCATCGTATCCTGGGAAACTGACACTACAATGCTCGTAGCACCATGGGAGGCAGTGAATTAGTTTTAAGAACATTGTGTGTTGCACAGCTTTGACTCTACATGTGCCAGTTCTTTGTCGAGTTCTTTCGGCTATTTTTAAATTTCTGATTTTTCGGAAAAACAAAAACATTATTTTCCCCTACAATCTTAAAACTAAATCAGAAACGAAGATTGTTTCACTGCGGTGTACAATCTTAGAACTAATTTATTGTGTTTTTTCAAAAAGGGAAAGAAAGAAAAATGGCATCTCTTGATAATTAAAATGTTCTTGTTGGACAAAATGAAAACCACCCTGAAAGTGGAGTTCCAGTGAATATGATTCCCTGTTAGGCCCAATTGACTTTATTAAATAATTAATCCCGATTAATGAGTTTGGTCTATCAATCCCATGTGATGGGCTTTGCTTATAATTCATAATTGAGCTTTGGTCACAGTTCATAGGTGACTAAAGTTTCTACCATACTTGCACATGGTTGGGCAGGTATGGATGATCAAATGTGAGTCTTGGCTGCTTCATGCTTGACCAAGTCAATTCAAGATGATGCTCAAACTGATGTATCTATGGGCTAAAATGAAGAAAATGTTTTAGTAAAGGGATCTCAACACATTTTTCAAAAGGTAAATTTTATGTACATTTAGTGTATACTTTATCCATATGCATTAATTACAATATTGTAATTGAATCATTTCAGATATTAAAAAAAACTCATTTTCTTTTTGAGAAATTTTGTATGGCTATCTTTTTTCTCCTCAACTACACATGAAAATATTTCCACTTTATCTGCAGTTTCATAAACTCCATTTGAAATCAAACCGAAAGAATTTTATAGGAAAAAAGAGTGAAAATAATTAATGAAATAATGATTTGGATCAACTTTTGGATGGATAGAGCAGGAATCACTTTTTCAAAATTCAAAAGGGAATACTTTTTGTATGTGGAAATGTAGCATTTTTTCAAAAGTGTTCACCTTTCTCCTGCCATTCGATCGTCTCTGTCGCTAGCTTAGTAGTCAATGTATCAATGGGTTGTTCACAGCCTACATCGCAATATCAACAAGCCAGGGGCGTATATATGGGGCCATACATGTCCAAATAAGTAGTAGACGGCCGGACGGGAAATGAAGAAATGTGGGGCGTCAAGATCAACTACTCTTTTGCTTACCGCCGTTGCTGTCACGGCGGCGTTCGCGGCGGCTGAGCTCTCTTCCCCTGACGCCGGTGTGATGCTAGAGCTGAGGAAGAGTCTAAATATCACCGATGATTCCTTTTGGAATGTGGAATACGACCCGTGCGGATGGGCAGGCGTGACTTGCGGATTGAATGATCGCCGGGTTGCGCATCTCATCATCAGGAATCTTAGCCTCATCGGAACTCTGCCGGAGAGTCTCGGAAAGCTCACCAAATTGATCACATTCGACGCCGGATATAACATCATCTACGGCCCACTTCCGGACTTTAACGGGTCGGTCGAGCTCAGTACCCTCATCGTTGACTTTAACCAGTTGACTTCAATCCCAGAAAGTCTTTTCCACTCGAAGCCTGACCTGAGTTACGTTTCTCTAAGCTACAACACTTATCTTCTCCCGTGGAAGATCCCTGAAAGTCTGAAAAATGCCACAAACCTCAGGCATTTCTCCGCCTACTACTGCAACATTTATGGCCCCATCCCGGAGTTCTTCACCGGCGAGTATTTCCCGGGCTTGGCACACCTTCATTTGGGGTACAACAATTTGTCCGGGCAGGTCCCGATGGACCTGCCCAGATCTTTGGAGACCCTATGGCTGGACCACCAGGGTGACACCCACTCATTGTCCGGCGACGTTTCTTTCGTACAGAACTTGACCCGGCTCACCAGCCTCTGGGTGAAGGAGAACAAGATTTCCGGCGAAATACCCGACTTATCCGGCCACCAATTCCTGGAAGAATTCGTGATTAGCTGTAACAATCTCAGCGGTTCACTGCCGGAGTCACTGTCGAACATTTCTTCACTGCTAGTAGTGGATTTGTCGAACAATACACTTACGGGCCCTATCCCTGGAAACAACACAGGAGGTTTTCCGAACCTTAATAAATTGGATGTTTCTAACAATGATCTTAGCGGCCAGGTCCCTCAATTTGGTCCTAATTTGATGACATTGACACTATGTGGGAATAAACATTTATTGGATGAAAGAGGGAAGCCATGTTTAATTTAGAGCATCAATCTTAGGATGACAATGATTGATAATGTTGGTGTTTTGAAGTCTTCGTTATAATAAGTTTGTTCATGTTTTTTTCAGAGAAAATTGGTTGGAATATGATTATATGATCGATCTAAACGGTTTGTATTCTTAAATCAATGGCATTTTTCATATAATGTATGCCTTTTGATGCTATTTTTCTTTCTCTTATTTAATTACTACGTATTACTTATGTCTAACATGTTTAAATTTATGAATCATCTTCATTTCTCCAATGTAATCATATAATAAGAATGTATAAATGTTTTATTCGCATATAGATAAACTTTCCTTTCTTATCACATTTATCGGTCCATATGTATCACACATGTTTTAATTATCTGTTTATATTTTCTATATAACTATATAAGATGAATCTATGATGAATTTTGTGAGGGCTGATAAATGCTTAACAATACTTTTGTCTCACGTGTGACACGGGAAATTTATCACAAAAATTTGTCATTGATTTATTGAGGAATATATTCTTTTTTGTAGAGAAGGAATATATTCTTTCCATCATTGTTCGAGCATAGATACTTTGTGAGATATATTTGTGATAATTATGTGAATTACAACCAGTTGCTTACTTTGAGCAGAAGTTTTGTCACAGATGGTATCCTTGACAAAATTCCATAAATTAATTAGTTATTATCATTGAGGCTTGCCACGATTCAAGTCCCTGAAACAAAATAACCCGGGTGTAATTGTTGGAAGTATACTCTGTGGTAATTATACGTGTGGATTTTTTTTTAATAATTGCAAATGTCCACAAATCACAGTAGGATAAAGTGTTACTGATATATTTTTATTGCTCATCTATTCAAATAAAGTCATGAATTCTTCCCAAGTAACTTTGAGTTCCTCTTAAAATTATTTAGTTTAGTGGATGAATAATACTCCGTATGATTGGTAGCTAATCACAGTGGAATATGCTTTGATTACGTAATACGGAGTATAATTTTTCCATATTTCAATTATGTTGTACGTAGTATTTAGTTGTTCAATAGTACCAAACTACACCTCAAGTAATATGCTTCTAAATACAAAAAAAAGGAATAATTGTTTGTCTCAAAGACACATTGCATTTGCCTTTCGAAGGCTAATAAAAATGAATTGAATGGCAAGTACGTTTTTTCAATAATAAAAAAGTTAGAGCACCTGCAAATCTCTCAATTACAGGCAGTAAACAATGAAGTTGCCAGGAGATGACAAAGCCGCCGCCATATGGTTCATATACATAACGCTTTTCTTCAATAATTTAGGAAGTTGGCTAAAACAAAAATGAGAGCAATGGCAACAATGCAAGAATACACAATGAGCCATGCAATAGTTCCTGCAACAGTTCTCCTTTTGGATAAGAACAAGTATGTAACTAGACGGTCAAGAATGATGTCCATCTTCATAACTCGTCCCCACACAGTTATATAACTTTCTGCATTGATGGGTCCATCTTCTTCGATCGTCTCTTCATTTATATAAGGACCTTTATTAAGTCCCAATAGACTATCCTCAACTTCTGGGAGTTCTGGCCATATGGCCTCCGTTCCAACACCATCGTCTGATTCATCAGAAATGTCCTCACTGCCATCCCTATCACTGTAATCATCGTCGTCGTCGTCATAGTCATCATCGTTTTCTTCACCCTCTTTGTCATTTGATGGCTGAACACTTAAGTTGACTTTTTCCTCATCGTTTTCATCCCTATCTCTCACAACGAGTACCATAGTTTGCTTCTTTTGAGCAGTTGAGATTGGGGTATCTTCTTCTATGTCTATTTCCATTTCATTGGAAACATCATTATGAACATCCCCATCACCATAACCATCCACTACACCATTATTATTATCATCACTGTGATTATGATCATCAACAACATCATTGTTGCCATTATCATTACCACCATCATCATCATGTTCATGCTCATCTACAATTTCTTCACCCTCTTTGTCATTCGATGGAATAACACTTGAGTGGAATTTCTCCTTGACATTGCCAACAATGTCTTCTTGTACTTCTGTGAGATTGATTAGCATAGTTGGCTTCTTTTGAACAGTTGAGATTGGGGTGTTGTCTTCTAGGTTTCTTTCCATTTGATTGGTAACACCATCATCGTCATACACATCACCATCACAATCATCGCGTTTATGGTCATCAACCATTTCTTCACCCTCTTTGTCATTCGATGGAATAACACTTGAGTGGCCTTTTTCCTTAACATTGTCAACAATGTCTTCTTGTACTTCTCTGAGATTGACCAGCATAGTTGGCTTCTTTTGCATAGTTGAGATTGGGGTGTTGTCTTCTAGGTTTCTTTCCATTTGATTGGAAACACCATCGTCGTCATACAAATCACCATCATCTCGTTTATGGTCATCAACAATTTCATCACCCTCTTTTTCATTCGATGGCATAAAACTTGAGTGGACTTTTTCCTTATCAATGTCAACAATGTCTTCTTGTACTTCTCTGAGATTGACTAGCATAGTTGGCTTCTTTTGCACAGTTGAGATTAGGGTGTTGTCTTCTAGGCTTCTTTCCTTTTGATTGGAAACACCATCATCATCATTATCATTACCACCACCATCATCATGTTCATGCTCATCTACAATTTCTTCACCCTCTTTGTCATTAGATGGAATAACACTTGAGTGGACTTTTTCATCATCATTGTCAACAATGTCTTCTTGTACTTCTCTGAGATTGACTAGCATAGTTGGCTTCTCTTGGGCAGTTGAGATTGGGGTGCTGTCTAACCTGTCTTCTAGGTTTCTGGAAACACCATCATGATCATACAAACCACCATCACCATCATCGCTTTTATGGTCATCAACAATTTCTTCACCCTCTTTTTCGTTAGATGGCATAACACTTGAGTGGAGTTTTTCCTTTTCACTGCCTTTTTCTGTGAGATTGACTATCACAGTTGGCGTCTTTTGCACGGTTGAGATAGCGGTGTCGTCTTCTAGGTTCATCTCCATTTGAGACGTAGTAATATCGGTAGGAACATTCATATTAGAAACTAAATCTGTATTCTTCTCATTGACTTGAAAGTCTCCAAGATGCTCAAAGGAAGTGTTCTTTTGATCACTATCACCTCTCAATATCTCCATTTCTTCTTGTTTGGTGGAAAAAGAATCAGTTTTTATGATATTGATGAAATCCCCAGAGTTGAGTGTGCCTTCTTCAGAACTATTGTCCAGGCTTACTTCCTCCAGAACAAGATGATGATTTCCAAATGACTGAGATGAGTTTTCCTGCTCACAAGATGTGGCGGGAATGGAACTGTTATTGGTGAATATTTCCTGATCATCACAGCCACTTGCTAGGCTGTCTTGTTGTTCTTCACATGCCTGCACTGTAATCAGATTGTCTCTGTCTTTGATTCTGTGGGACACAGACAAATTCAATTGTTCAAATTAACTCATTATATTCATAAATCATGATTAGGTCCATATCACCAGGCTAGGTGGAAATACAAAACACGTATTCAATGAATTAACTAATGTAATCTGAGCTATAAAAATATGCATGTCTTTCTTTAATATTTTTCAATGCAGAAATTAAAGGACTGTAAAGAAACATAATCGTTGTTGGTGTTTGTGTTGTAAACATTCAGACTAACCTAGAATCCCACACAATCTTTTCCAGTTTAAAGTTCACATGACCTGTGTCTTCCTTTTTTGGGAAATTCTAAAATAATAGACGTACTATGCTTTTATCACATAAATAGCAGTTTTTATTGTCAATTATAGCAATATATTATCATGTTTAAAGCTAAATAATGTCAAAATATGAATAAATTTCCATGATGGCAGCAGTCCTATAAATATCAACATGACCTCATATAATGATTATTTATTTTTATTAGTAAAACTTTAATTTTTAGTGCGACTTTCGTGTTGTACCCATTTCTTGATACTTGAGATTAGAGTTTTTTGTCCCCGTTTCTATCCCCGCTACTATTTCCGTCCAGGTGCGCTACTTACGCTTAGGCCGGTCAATGGTCCGGGTCTAGATACGGACCATTGCTTTTAACGGGTATGAGTCTATATTTTATTCCTTCACTCAGACCCAGATCCGAATGTTTTTTTAATATATAAGTCACATATGGTACATATGATTTCGACCCGTTAAAGACTCATAACAGTTAAAAAATCCTTATTAGTATACACACAAATTTATTACCTAGTGTATAACGTATAAGTGATACTGACACAGTGAGATCTCATAAAACTAATACCCGATTATACATACTGATAAAGTGTGTATTGGGTTATGTAGACAACCCCAATATTTATTATTTTTACTATTATTATATCATATACGTAGTATAACATATGCTTTTATATTCTCATTGATCCAAGAGACCGTTTTGTAACATAATTTCTGCTCTATTTTACGAGCTTTCTACGAGAGAATGTAGAGCTATACGCCTCTATAAGAACTGATCCTTTGGATAGAAGTATTGATTTTCAATGTGAAACCTTGATTTTTTTAAAATGAAAATATGTTTTTTTATTGTGAATGACACATTAGGAGTATACCTAGCTAGTTTAGGTACTTTACTTTACATTTCATATACTACGTATATGTATTGTTATTTTCACAAAGTTTGTAATGTTGTGTATCTCATATTTGGCGGGTCTACCGACCCAATTCTGAGACCTGTTAGGTCCAGGTTCGGATGGATCCAAATTTTAAGACATGTCCGAGTCGAGTCTGGATCCTTTATTAACCTATGGTTTCGGTTTTAAAACACTACGAGGCCGTTTGGAATTTCGGCTTATCAGGCTTATCAGCCAATTTTTTCACTAAACACGTAACTTTTGCTTTCGCGCACTGAGTTGCGTAATAAGCAGAAAAAGTAAGGTTGGAGTTACTTTTCTGGCTGTATTGGCTGAAGTTACTGTAGATGACCATTTTAGCTATTTTTACATATATTTTTTCTTTATTTTATTAATAAAATATATTTTAAAAATAATTTTTTCTTAAATCAATAGAATCAGCCAATGCAGCCACTTCAGGCAGAACTTCAGAAATTTCAGCAGAAACAGCTAAATCAGTTGATTTTCATGCTACCAAACAGGCTCTAACCCGGACCCGACTATTGATAAGCCTATGCGCTACCTACCTAATTCTAACATATCCTCATTTATTTTTTACTGCTCACCTACTTAGCCACCGAATAGCTGCCTACCTCTTTCTTCACCACTTGCATAATACGGAGTACTATACATAGGTAATTAGACAGTGATCGGGGTACTGGGGTAGCAAAGACACAAATTTTGAATGACGAATTTATTTAATTTCTTTTTTCATCATGTACTAGTAACATATTTTTTTTGTTACATCAGAACAGATACTAGTAACGTACCTACATAACACGGAGTACTAATTTTATATAAGAGTAATACATTTAGTTATCTTCTAATTACTCGTTTTACCAAATTTATATAACCATACGGAGTACATTTTTGTGCTATTCACGCATTTGTTGTAATAGTCAATATTTAAACTTAATAAAACTTCTCACGTACTCCGTGCTATTTAAATACGGAATATGTAAGTTAATCACATGTATTATTGAGCCATTTGTACGTCCTACATCGATTTTAATAAAAAAATAAAAAATTAATACTAGTATATGTATGGACTTCAAAACCGATGAGAGGGACTATAAATGTCAACCCTTACTAATCTTTAAAGTCAAAAGGTCGAAAGACAAGATCACTATAATTCCGGCAATCACACATTCAGACCTACTCCATATTATACTTTGAGTACGACTGGAGCGGATCTGCATTTTTTTAACTTAGAGAGGACTCTCCGGACTATAACAATGCTTGTAAATTTAATTTTACAAGATGTGACCCAGAATCAAGCCCCGTTTACGTCTAATTGACTTTTCTTTTTCTTGGGGAATCGTAATTATTTTAATAAAAATATAAAATTCATAAATTATACTCCCTCCGTTTCTAAAAGAGACTCACACTTTCCTTTTTGGGATGTTTCAAAAACAAAGTCACACTTCCCTTATTTCCTTATTTGGTAAAGAAATCTACATCCAAACAGTGTCAAACAGTGTCTAAACAGTGTTTTCTACAGTAAAGTCAATTTATTTCATTAATAATCGTAAAGTCAAACCGTGACTTTCTTTTAGAAATGGAGGGAGTATCTAGTATAAAAATATAATTATTAAAATAATTGTTCAAAATTTGTCATTATTGACCAGGAAAAGTATAAAAATTCAATCTTCTAACACAAGCTAGTAATTTTGATTAACGCTCCATATATTTTGTAAGAAAAAAATACCTTTATAATTACTTCGTATATTTTTATTGAAATACTTTCAAACTTTAAGAAAATAATATTAGTATATCACTTTCATATTACTACGTGTAAAATTTAGTATATAAAAAAAAAAGATGATTGCTTGAAACATGAAAGTGCCAAATAGATCTACCATACAAATACAGTGTAATCTAGATTTGGCACTTTCTAGATATCAATTTTCATGTATATCTATTTTTAATTAAGCACTCGAACTAAGTTCAAAGGGGTAGATATTCGGGACCAACCCGCCGATCCAGTTCCGTCCGCACCTGAATTTGCTGAAGCACTAACCTGAGTTCGTCATTTAAGAGTGAAGAGGGACTAGAGAGAATGAACTGAATCCCCTGCCTCGCCGGCTCTTCACCGTCGCCGTTGATCCTTTCTCCGTCGTCCCCCATCCCACTCTCCTCTTCAGCCGCCGCCGATTTTTCCGGTCCGTTTTCATCTCCGCCGTCGACTTTTCCGGTCGGTTTCCTCCGCTTTCTAAAAGCTGATGAAAGAAGCACAGTCACCAACAATCCACCCAAAAGCACTAAAATTCCACCGCTTTTGCCCAGATTTAGCTGCACCCTCATCTTCCCGCCCTTCTTATCTTGCTCTGTATACTCTGTTTTCTCCGGCATCTCCTCGGAGATCGAGAAACAAGTAATGCCGGTACAAGCGAACAACTACGGGGGTAAAGGGATTTTTTTCCTAGGAATTGTCGATAGAAAATTGTCGATGAAGACGAGAGATGTTTTGGTTTTGAGACGGTGGTTCTGATCACACCAGAATTTCTCTCTGCACGCTGGAAAACTGCGGAGAAATCCTTGATCTGATCTTCGGGAATTGTACAGCTTCACATTTTCTGAGTTGTTAGAAAATGGTAGAAAGATGAATCGAATAGGGCATTTATTGTGTCACGAGCTTTGGCTGATGGTTTGGTAATGGCAAGAGCCAAGAGCCCTACCCCTACCTATATCAAGGTGACCATGGTCCATGGATGCATGACCGGACCGGATAGGAATTTTTAAAATTATTTAGGAATGTTTGGATGATTGATCTACCACAAATTGGTCTAAGGGTCTGTTTGCAACAGCTTCTGCTTTTAAAAAAGTGCTTTTTTAAATGAAATGGTGAGAAGTGATTAAATAAAAGTTGATAGTGTTTGAGAAAAAAGTGATTTTGAAAAGTAAAAGTGGGTAGTGTTTTGTAAAATAAGTGCTTTTTGTGTAATAGAAAAAGTAAAAGCACTTTTGACGCGGAAGCCGAGAAAAATAAAAGCACTTTTTAAAAGCCAGAAGCTGAGAAGTGCTTTTTTAAAAGCAGTTGCAAACCAACCCTAAACAGGAGTAAAATATTTTGAAATTTCAAAATAGGACTATCATATTTTTTATTCCCTGAACAGAGGTAATCTGCCAAGTTTGAAAAGAAATGCCATGTATTTATGTACTTCTCAAAATTAAAATTGCGATTTTTTAGTTAACAAAAGCGATATTAGATTGTTTGGATGAAAGTACATAAATACTTCTTGATGCGCCAAAGGGTTCATAGAAGTACTTTTTTAGAAATCTGGGTAGAAGATGAGCTTTGAAGAACTGATTCAATTCTTCTTCTACTTTTAAACAAGAAACAAAAGCAAAATAAATTTCAAACACCTTATAAATTGAAGAGCATCCAATAGCATACCATACAATTCCGGTCAAGAAATTATTTTTGATATGATTGGATCAGGCCATTATTGGACAATATTTGAAGTTTTATTATAAAAAATGATCTTTTTGAAAATATTTTGACTTTACTAACTATTACTCCCTCCGTCCCAGGGAGAAGTTCCCGGGTTGACTTTCACACATATTAAGGAAATAAAGTTAGTGAGGGGTAAATTTTACTGTTTGTCACTGTTTTGACACTGTTTGGCACTGTTTCGACACTGTTTGACACTGTTTTGCACTGTTTTAATGTGGATAACTTTCCATTTAGAAAAATGAGAACTTTTTGTTGGACTACCAAAAAAGGAAAGTGGGAACTTGTCCCTGGGACGGAGGTAGTATTTCTTTAAAAACTCATTTTTTAATGGAAAAGATTTCTTCTATTCATATACGGACTACGGAGTATAAAGAACTCAGTCATCAACCCGACAGGCACTCACAATTCCTACGATTATAATTCAAGAGGAATGTTCATGTCAGGCCGGCCTGACGGGCTGCCCCGTCCGGCCGAGCCCGTTTGGGCACCTTCCCGGTTGAATTTTTTGATGAAATTTTTTGAGCATGTTCCTCATCAAGTCTAGTTTGTCCATACCAAATTTCAGCTCAAAATTCGATCGGGAAGGTCGTCAAATGATTTTTGCAAGTTAACTGGTCCGGAATATGTATTTTCCGGACCAGTTAACTTGCAAAAATAATTTGACGACCTTCCCGATTGAATTTTGAGCTGAAATTTGGTATGGACAAACTAGACTTGATGAGGAACATGCTCAAAAAATTTCATCAAAAAATTCCACCGGGAAGGTGCCCAAACGGGCTCGGCCGGACGGGGCAGCCCGTCAGGCCGGCCTGATGAGAAGAGCTCTCTATAATTCAATAACTCAGGTAAGATATAACACAATAACTCGCCAACAATCGGTCCATGGATGCATGACCGGACCAAATTGATGAATAGGCGACCCCTCAAAACACTTGTCTACATGAAATGATTTGTTTGTAATTTCCATTTAAACTTGTGCATTTTTAATTAGTTTTGTGATTCACTAGCTTGGAAATTACATACTTTTGGTGTAATGTTTTGTTTTATTTAAATTGATGTAAATGGTTTAGATTAGGATTTTTCTGAACATAGGACAGGGTGAAAGCACTCAAAGGATCAAGAAATGGATCCCAAAGACCAAAAGGTGTGCAAGGAAACAAGATCAAAAATTGATTTGGAAAAGAGTTCCAACACCCAGTCGGGTCTTTGTTATACCCGTTCGGGTATTGACCCGATTTCGTTGTCCAAATCAAATCCCGGAAAACAAAGGATCGTGGCAACAAAATATCTTAAAAATCCGATCTCATACCCGATCGGGTATACCGACACACCCGGTCAGGTATGAGGTGATGTTTTCTCATTTCTCGGAACCAACCGAGTACCCGATCGGGTACCTCAAACACCCGGTCGGGTACATGATCCTGCCACCTTCATTTCCCTATAAATACACCCTTCTTCCTTCACAAAAGGACATCCCTTCTTCCATATACTTAAGCTCAGTTTAGAATAGTAATTTCTTATATTTTTATAGCATGTTTAGTCTCCAAATGAGGAGCTAAACTTCCATTTCTTGGTTTTGCTCTTGAAGCTTGTTGATTATTAAAGTTGTGAGTTATTTTCTTACTTTCTCCTCTTGATTATTAATTCTTCCCTTAATCTCATTCTATATTAATGTTGGAGGGTGGCTAAGTGACGATTAGTTAACGTTCCGACATTGATTATTACTAGGAACGATCAACGAACCGATGGTTAAACGTTGATGGTTTCACAAGTAAGTAACTTCGGTTTATTAATGCACGGTCGTGGTTAATAAACTTAAGAGGGATTAATTTTGTTGGTTAAACCGAAACCGTTATGTTGAGGTTATCAATCTCAATTGATTTCATCAAGGAGTTAAAGAGGTTAAATGCTACTATGAAACCGGTATACGGCGTTGTTCTATATTTGGTTAATAGTAAGGGTTATTAATGAACGGTCGTTGTTAATAACTACCCTCGATGAATTGGATATACTCCTCGATTGAGTATTCGAGAGGGGATAAGTTATAGATATAACAATGATCGACTAAAATATATCAACAAGTGGAAAGTAGCAAGACCAAGTCCCTTTTATTCTTGAATTTAATCCCATATAACTCGTTCATCTTCGTGTTTAATTTAATTAAATCACTCAACAATCAAAACCCCCCTTTTATTCACTATTTACATAAAAAGAAAGTTATTCCTTTCCCTGTAGATACGAACTCTACTTCACCTATACTACATATAAGTGTTAGTATCGATTTATTTTGAGTGCACTCACGACAAAGTGCACGTCAAATTTGGCGCCGTTGCCGGGGAAAGGCAATTAATTTTTCTTTTTATTTTATTTAAAGAAAAAGAAATATATATATATATATATATATATATATGGATTTCTATTTCTTCTGAGCTTTGTTGTACATGGTTAAATATCGTTCACTGAACGAAATCACCTACAAATCAAACCCCGAAATAGAACAAACTCTCGAGCGGTTGAAAAATAAATTCTCAAGCTCCGACTCGGGAGAATCATCAAGTGTTAGTTCCCATTCGAGCGACACCGAAGAGCCAACCACTATGGCTAATGAAACAAGAACGTTGAGGGAGCTCACGGCTCCGAATCTTAATCAGCAACCCCTATGTATCACTTTTCCAACTCTTGATACGGGGGTCACATTCGAGCTAAAATCTGGGCTCATTCATCTACTCCCATCATTTCATGGCCTACGAGGGGAAGATCCGAACAAACACTTGTCGGAATTCCATATTGTGTGCACGAGCATGTGCCCCAATGGTGTATCCGAGGAGCAAATAAAGCTAAGGGCCTTCCCATTCTCTTTAAAAGACACCGCAAAGGATTGGCTTTTCTACCTTCCTTCGGGTAGCATCAACACATGGGCTCAAATGAAAAAGAGCTTCCTCGACAGGTATTATCCCGCATCTATCTCTTCAAGCCTCAAAAAGCAAATTAGCAACATTGAGCAAGCAGATGATGAGACCTTGTACGAATATTGGGAGCGCTTTAAAAAATTATGCGCTAGTTGCCCATATCATGGGTATTCGGAACAAGATCTCATCCTCTACTTCTATGATGGGCTTGTTGACCAAGATAGACGCATGGTGAATGCGGCATGCGGAGGGGGTATTGTTAACAAAACCCCTTCCCAAGCAAGAGACCTCATTTCGGAATTAGCCGAAAACTCAAGACACTACAATGGGAGGTCATCATCAAAAAGAGTTATGGCAGCGGAATCCAACAACTCGTTGGAAAGTCAAGTGGCCGGCTTAACTTCTTTAGTTAAAGATTTTCTTTTGAATCCAAAAACCCAAGAAGTCAAGGTCTGCGGCATATGCTCGACACAAGGGCATCCCACCGATTCCTTCCCAACACTTCAAGAGGAGAACCCCGAGCAAGTCAATGCTTTGGGTTTCCAAGGACAAAGGAGGTACGATCCTCACGGAAACACCTACAATCCGGGATGGAGAGATCATCCCAACTTAAGGTACGGAAACTCTCAACCTCCTCAACAATCAAACCCTCCCCCTCAACAATATAAACAACAAGGGCAAACATCGAACTCGAGCATGTCCACTGAAGACATGATTCGATCACTGGCCATGAACATGGCCACGATGCAACAAAGTGTGACCCAATTCCAAGAAACAACAAAATCTAGCATCCACAACTTGGAAAATCAAATGAGCCAAATCTCAAATGCCGTGAGTAGGCTTGAAGCTAAGGATTCGGCAAGACTCCCATCTCAAACGGAGCCGAATCCAAGGCAACAGGCTCACGCGGTCACTTTGAGAAGTGGAAAAGAATTGGTTATGGCTAAGGCAAAAGCAAAGAGCCATGTTGGAGAGGAGGAGGAGGATATCTTGGTAACAAGCACAAATCCTCAAAATGAAGAGGAGAAGGAGGAGGAAATCACACCTCAAAGGAAGTTTCCACCGCTCGATTCATACGAGCCGGTACCACCTTTCCCGGAGGCTCTCAAGGACAACCGCAAATACAACAATGACAAAGATATCTATGAGACCTTCAGCAAAGGTGAGGTAAATATTCCTCTTCTCAATTTAATAAAAGGTGTTCCTAGGTTTGCAAAGTTTTTAAAAGAGCTTTGCACAATTAAAAGGAAACACAAATTAAATGGCAAGCATAAAATCCAAGTAAGC